CTCCACCTCCGGGGAAATTGGTGCTACACGCTGGTGCTTTCATCTTCCTGGGGGAGGAGGAGGGAAGGGCAGCCTTGGGGATCCCCCTCCCCAGGGCTTCTCTGAAGATGGTGCCCACGCTTCCTGGGCAGTGCCACCTCCCCCTGCCCATCAGGAGCCACCCTGGCTGCGGTCCAGTTGGTACCCAAGCGCCGGAAACCTAAAGCTGGATTCGGTCACACTGACCCCCCCTCCCCCTCCCCATGGCTGTTCCCCACACCCGAGGCCTCTTACAGTCCCCGGATGAAGCCCCCGGGAAGACCCCACACATACAACACTGGGAATGGCCCCCCTTGCTCTTGAGGAGCCCGCCTGCCCGTCCATCCATCTATCCATCCGTCCGTCCTTCCGTTCTTGTCCCCCGTCAACTGCCCAGCGCCACTAGCTGGCTGGGCACACCTGTCGTGGCAGCCTGCGCCCCGCCTCCACCCCACCACACCCCGACGCTGGCCCAGGGTGTGAGAGGCCGTGTGGGCTGGGGGGACAGGACCCTGGTCCCCAGCCCCGATCTCCCCACACGCAGTACTGTACCCCCGACCCTCCCCTGAGCCACGTAACTACAGAGCATGTCTCACTCCCACCCCCATCTCTTTGTGTCTCGCTGTGATAGATCAATAAATATTTTATTTTTTGTCCTGGATATTTTGGGATGATGTTTGCTTGTTGATGTTTTTCTTTGGGTTTTATTTTTGTGGTGCATTGGAAAAAAATTTTTTTTTTTCTTTTTGCTGATCTGGGGAGCTATACCCCAGTAGAAATTTCATTTTAATCGCTCTGGTATAACTCTGAATGGAACACATTTAAAAAAAAAAAAAAAAAAAAAAGGAAGAATTAATTGCTTCAGAAAAGACTAATAAATGAAAACCTTTTCAAGGAAACTGTCTTGGATTTCTTTGTGTTTTTCCACCTGGCCTGGGGGGAGCTGCAGTGGGGGGACCTCGACCACCTCCCCCGCCCCACCATGTGCTGGGGAGGCTGCTGACCCCAGGCATCCCCTGTGGACATCTAGGGCATCCACCCTTCTCCAAGCTCTACTTGTCTTTAACAATGACCTCCATAACCTGGGTGTGATGGTGCACCCCTGTAATACCAACACTCAGGAGGCTGAGGCAGGAGGATTGTGATAAATTCGAGGCCAGCGTGTACTACATAACAAGACCCTGTCTGAAATAATAGTAATAATAATAATGATAATAAGAATAATTAAAAAAATAAAAATGACCTCCACAGAGGTGGACTCACCCACCACACCTGGGCCCTTGCCCTGAGCACAGTCCTAGGCAGAGGCCTTAGGCTGCATGTGGAGAGTGGTGGGAACCTAACTGGCCTCCTTAGAGACCACATGCTTGGAAACCCAGGGCCTGGCTGATCCCAGTGCCCCAGGCAGTGGCAGAGAATCCCAGCCTTCCCACAAGCGCTGCTAAAGGAAGACCTACACTCAGGAGAAATGAACCCTGCAGGGGGCAGCAGAGAGTAAGCGCACCCTCGGGTGACGCATTTCTACAGCCTGTCCTCCAGCCCCGGAGCCCCAAATGTTGGGACCTACAGACAGACGTGTCCATCTGTGGGCTGCTCCCCACAACCACGTTCCTTGTACCAGATTCAACAATTCTCCCCCAAGGCCTGACGCCACAGCTGCCCCCTGCCCCATGCGGCAGACCCCATGGCCCTGTGCAGCCTCTCTGTAAGGCTTAGTCTGGGATCTCTCTCCTGAGGGTGGCAGGCGCTGCCCCAGCAGGTCTGTGTGTAAGGACCCTTTGGTACCACAAGTAGGGAATGAAAAGAGAAGACAGTGGTATTCAGGGAAAGCACTCCAGAGGTGTGGAAAAGGGTAGAAGGCAGCAAGGTGCGGATGTGCACGCCTGTCATCCCAGCAGTCTGGGAGGCTGAGGCAGGAGGGTTGCAAGTCCAAAAACAGCCTTAGTGACTTAGTGAGACCCTGTCTCAAAAATAAAGGAAAGCAGGGAATATAGCTCAGCGGCACAGCGCCTGCCTGACAAGTGCGAGGTCTTGAGTTAGATTCCTGGTACAAAAAAAAAAAAAAAAAAAAATAAAAAAAAAAAAAAAAAAAAGAAAAAAGACTATTTGCGGAAGTAATAGGGGAAAATTTATCAAGCACGGGGAAAAGTCTTACACAGTAAGTGAGGCATCTAAGAACTCCAATTAGCCATGACCTAAATAAATCTGCATCAGGGCATGTAATAATCAAGATCCCTGAAATTCAGCACAAGTACAAAATAATTAAAGCTGTTCTGGAAAAGAAATAGATC